GATTATTACATATAAACAGAACTTGTCAAGAGGTTTTTTCATCTGGAACACCAGAATAATACTGAAAGTGAAATTTTTTTGCCAAATTAATATAAATGAAAATACAAATAGCTGACCACATTCATTTTTTATGAAGCTGGTTGAAGATATAGACAATCATGTAGGATCTGAATGGCCTGATTTAATGTGTGCCTCTTTACTGGCAAAGAACCACAAGAGGATTTGATCTTTCACTGCTAGCCAATCTCAAATAGAATATTACCTCCACTTACTCTACCTTTAGAAGCTCTCACTTCTAAAGTAGTTATGTGTTTGCTCCTTTTTTATCCTTTTTTATTTTTATTTTAATTCTAAGATAAAATTGTCTAGTGTCCTACGCTCTAAATGTCGCATGTCACCATAGAAATGTCTCTATGTTCAGGCACCATAAAAATGCATCCAGTAGTAGAAGTTAATAAAAAGGATGGTAAGGTAGTTTGAAAAATGGAAGGATATTTTTAAACAGCTTTATGAATTCAAAATGCTATGGTATAAATGTCACTTATTAGTCCATAATACCATTTAAAAAGATTCTGAACCAAGATAGTCATGGATTTTATTTTCAGCATCTCTCTTTAACATCTGCTCCAAGATGATAACCCTTGGAAACCACAAGCTTGGAAGAAAGGGCAAAGGTCCAAAGAAGGTGGCGGGGGGGGGGGGTGGTGACACAAGAGGAAAAGAATATCTACATAGGTATTAGTAGCTTTTGAAGCAACTTCTTTGCGTGAAAAGCAGGAAATCAGAAACAATCTTTCTCAAGTATTAAAATTAGATTTTCTGCAGAAATAAAAAAACCTTAATACGAAAAGGAGGTTTTTTTCAAGTCTCAAAAGACATATGGAAAACCATCAGGTGATTTCAATCTTCAGCTTTCCTCCACATCATCCTTAGAGATAGACCATAACCAGGTGTCAATAGAGTTGGTAACAGCCAATGTCACAATTTTTGTGTCTCTGTGACCTAGCATGACAGAATCATTAAGGCTTTACAATTCTAGGACACATTTAACAGTGGGTTGTACTGCATTCTTTGTCAGCTCAAATGAATGCTGTGAGTAGATAAACACACTAAATGACCGTCATTAGATTCATCCAAATCAATACTTTATTTGGTCTTTTAGATGCAGGTGCACCAAACAGCATTCACTCTGCTTCTCGTTCTCCCTAATCAGGCACCGCATATGCAATACAGATATAGCGGTGGGGATAATGAAGTTGTATTAAGCATTATTCCAAGGCCGTACCGCCAGCATCATTAGGGCCTTGCTAAATAGGAGAATTTTGTTGCTTAGTAACACAAATATTGCAATGGAGGTGGTAGAAGGCTATTTTTCTTTTTCTGAAATCATGACTCCCTAATTCACTTTCAGTCCTACAAGAACAGGATTCTGATTAATGATGTGGCTCCCTTCTGACAATGTGGTCAGCCTACCTTTTGTATACCCACCAAGGTGCAAATCAAATCTCATTTGTGTTAGAAGTCTTTGTCTTAAATAGATTCAACTTTCTTATGTTTTCATCAGCCTCCCCACTAAAATTGAAAGCAGCATTATTACAATATCATAATCCAGGTTTAATTGTATAGAAATCCCCTCCAAAAAAAGGGGGGACTGCATTTCTGAAATGAAACTTGCATATGCCAGAAATAAAAAGTTCTCATAGGTACATATAAGTAATAAATAGCAATGGCAGGGTGATACCTCTTCCCAGAATAAGCGTTTCCAAAGCATTTATAAAGTTGGACAAAACTTTAGGATGATCTTAAGTTTTAAAAGCAATCACTCAAATATGTCCCTTGACACCACTGAGATGTATCAGTATAAAAATCATCTCTCCACTTTCATAAAACAATGTGAGTGGCTCTCCTTTCTCCCTGTCTCCACTCCACACCTGTCTTATTATCATTCATTCTCTCTCGTGCACTCTCTTTTCTCTCTCTCTGTAACATCTTGATGTAAAAATACATGTGTGAATATAGACAGGAAGATTTTTAAAAAAGATATAAGATCAGAAACCATATAGAAAACAGAAAAAAAAATATTTTTACCTATAGCATAATTGCAGTTGAACTCTAAAATTGGCTCTGGCTTTCTGGTTGGCCACAGCAAAAAGAAAACATCATTGTGCTTTGAATAAATCTCATGCTAATTTTAGTGAAAACATACGTTTTCCAGAGCTCAAAGTCAGGAGGAATTTAACAAACATGTTAGAGAGTTGGCACATGCATTATTTTTTATTGCTGCCATAACAACTTCCATGAACTTTGTAGCTTAAAACAGCACAAATTCATCATCTTTCTGTTCCAGAGGTTAGAAGTTTGACATGGGTCTCACTGGGCTAAAATCAGAGCATCAGCAGGAATAGGTGCTTTTTGGAGACTCTAGAGGAGTCCTTCTCCTTGGCTTTACAACTTCTAAAGGCTGTCAAAATTCTTTGACTCATGTATCTCTTCCCCCATCTTCAAAGCCAACAGAGTTGTATCTTTCTGACCATTCTTCCATAGTCATATTTCCCTCTCCACAGCCAGGAAAGATTTATTCTCTTTTAAAGATTACATGATTAGATTGAGCCCATCAAATAATCCAGGACAATCTCCGCTTCTCCATGTCCTTAATTTAATCATGTAGACCAACATATTCACAGTGGCTGGGAATCAGAAAGTGGACATCTTGGGAGGCCATTATTCTGTTGATCACAGTATGGCATAATTTTTAAAAAACAGAGGCCCTCAAATCCCAGACCTGGATTTGTGTACTGCCTCCATCAGTCACAAGCTATGTGGCCTTGGGGAAACTATTTAACCTTGTGAGCCTCAGGTTTTCTCATCGAATAATAAGAAATTTATAATATTGAACCTAAGATGTTGTTGTGTGAAATGGTTATGTCAAACACTTAGCACAGAGCTCAATAAATCATGGATATCATTGTTTTTGTTGATCTTTATCAATTCTTGATAAAAGCTAATAGGACCTAAGCTTATGTAGTTCTAGCACACTTTTTTTTCCTAATTATTTATTTAACCTGACATCCAGAAAGAACTTTTAGAGTGCCTTGAAGAACAGATGGTTAATATGTGGCATAGACTCCTCCTCTTAAATATGCCATTGTCTCAACCACATTTTTGGCAGGTTCTGTGTAACAATCAATTAAGTTTCACCTCCTTGGTACATGGCCAATGTGTGGGTATTATGTATTATTGATAATAGAAAAATCCATTCACTTTATATGTCAAAGAGTGAAGTGGCAGTTTTAATATTCTTTTTGTGAAAAATAAGCAGCCTGACATAAATTTTCTTCCAGAAAAATATTCATATTCCGTGAACCACAAAAGTACCTGTGAACAAGATCAGGCATTCTCTCAACAAAGCTCTGGGTCTGGCCAAATGCCAGAAAAAACAACCATTTGAAACACTGGAGAGGTAGATTGGACCTGGTTAGAGTCATACGTCATCATGTGTGAGCAATCTGCTATTACCCTCCTGCTATAGGAGGGTATATGGCATCCAGCACACTATCGCTCAAATCAAATTCACAGTATAAAATCAATCACTTCTAATGCTATTTGGAAATAACTCTTGATTTGAATGATTTTTCTCAATTTCTCCCACCCACATTATCACTCCTTTATTTCAAGCCATCATTCTCTATTACTCAAGGTATCAATTAAATTTCATTCAAAGTAAAGCAAGAGAAAATCCAACCAACAGTGGTTTCAACAAGATAGGGTTTGTTTTCTTCCTGTAACATAAAATCTGGTGGTGAGAAAGTTTAGGACTAATGAGCAATCAGGGATTATCAAAGACCCCAAGTCATTCAACTTTCCTCTCCCTCATCCTTACCAGGTGGCTTTCCTCTTTATATTACAAGATGGTAGCCACATCTACAGGCATTCCAATCACAATTCAGGCAGGAAGAAGGGGAAGGGCAAAGGGCCAAGGGCAAGAGGCTGAAGATACATGTCAGTTATCAGGGTACCCTTCAAGCAATGTTCCCAGAACGCTGATTTAATGATTTTCATTTATATATGTGGTCAAAACCATGTCCATGGCAGCTTGGGAAGGAAAACATTAATAATTGAGCACCTTGCTTTCTTGACAAAATCGGGATTCTGTTACTGCCATACCTGGTCTAGCACTGTACTGTAGATTCCTAATCCACTAACCTGATACCAATGACCTATGAACTGTGCTTATCCCTTCCCACTGGCATTAAATTGATCTGTCTAAGAAACAAAACCATGCTTAAAGTGGACTTTGGCTCTTCTTTGCCCAACGTGTATGTCCCAACATCATTAATATACCATATTGAGACCCATCATAATTTCATTCTAATTTATTTCCACAGATTTATCTCCTCCCTTTTGACCTCATTCCTCTTATATTTCAACCACATAAACTTATCATTGTCCTAATGCAATACTCTTCCCTGCTTCTGTATTTTGCCTCTATCTAGAATCCCCTTCCCCTTCTGTTTTTTTTTTTTTTTCAGACAACATCCCATTGTTATTTTAAGACCGATCATGAATGACACCACTTTTGTGAAGCTTTTCCCAATTATTCACCACCCTGTTTTGGGGGCTCTCTCCCTGTGCTCATCTCTCTATGGTAGCCTTTGCACAATTAATTGTATTGTACTTTTTCTGTTTCCAAGTGTCTCCCACCTTCACAGTCTGGGATTCCTCAAATCAAGACTTCCCATACTTTTCCTGACATATAGTAATAATTGATTAGATAAATGAATTTAGAAGATATACAAGTAGTCAAGAGCTAAAGAATTAGACAGTTTTATATGTAAAAGTATGGCATTAGATCAGAAGTTTGAAGAAAAGATAGGAAAGAATCAGAAACTCAGGGAAGGGAAAAAGAAATAAGAGATCAGGGATTCACCCAAGGAATCTGGGATTAAAGAATCAGAAGATGAAATCCAAGGATGTGGGCACCAAAAACAAGAAGAAATGAGATTGGCTATGACCAGAATGTAAGCCAGATGTTGGCTGGCTGTCCCTTTTCAGGACACCTGGATATGATTGTGTTAAAAGATTAACTGAGGGACATTAATATTTTTGAGAGTGTATTTGAGCATATATCAAAATGGGGCAGCACCAAACTGAAAATGGTTGAAAGTTAGTAAAGAGGTTTTTACAGAGAAGACATGGAAGCAAGAAAATTATTTGATTGGCTCTAGCTTAAGAGGTTTTTGCTTTATTTGGGAAAGCTTAGTTGACTGTTTGATTGGTTGTTTTTAGGTTTCATTTCCTCAGATTTGAGTGCATTGATTGCCCAAGATTTTGGTTTGCTCACAGAGACTGCCAAGGCATTACGAACACTCAGGTCTAAGGGCCTCCTCCTTTTATTTAACAATTGGTTTAAATCAACTTTCACACCCTATAGAAGTGCTAATCTCCTCCCATAGCTAAAAATTTCTGGGCTTTCCTGAAGTACTTTTTCCTCTCTCCAAGCTTGTTTGTGCTGAATTAACTTGGGTCATGGATTATTTCTCTATTCCATATAAAAACTTAAATGTAGGGGTGCCTGGGTGGCTCAGTCAGTTGAGCATCTGACTCTTGATTTTGGTTCAAGTCCTGAACTCAGGGTTGTGAGATCGAGCCCCGTGTCAGGGTCCGCACTGAGCATGAAGCCTACTTAAGAATCTCTTTCTCTCTCTCCCCCCACCCACCCTTACCCCGTTCATGCTGTCTCTCTCTCTAATAAAAAAGAAAAAAGGATAAATAATAATAATAAACTTAAATATAAGTCTCATCCTCTTCCTCAGTTTTTCAGAAAATCCATTTTACAAGTTATTTGCATGTATAGTAGACATATCTTTGGGGCCTAGTAAGGATTTTAATTACAAGAAATCAAAGCCACTTCCAATTGAATGCTAAATTCCCCTGGTTCTAAGTCTTTTGGCCTTCTCAATGCTCCCAAACTTTTTCAGTTTTACTGCATCTCAAGTTCAACACAATCCACTGATTTAAGAAATCCAAATTTCCCTTAACATACCAGGCAGAACATTACTACTCCTAAACATAGTACTAGGTCTGTTTTGCAAATCTAAATCCAACAATGATATTTCCAACAGACTGAAGGAGCTTTTAATATATTTGAAGCCACTTACCATCAAAGATGATTGAGGTTATAAAAGTAAACATTTCCTCCCTAAGCTAAAACGTCTGACAGATTTTATCCCTGGCTTAAGATAAACATCCAGTTGAAAATGTGCACAAAGTTGTGGATTAGCTATAGCAAGGTTAGCGCGAGGCTCAGAGCTTTCCGACAAATGTTTAAAGATCTTGTGTTCTGCTTCAAAAAGATTTGGATTTGGTTGATGAATAATAACCAATATTTTTTATCAACGAAAAATAGATTGATTTATTTATTCTGTGAATATTTATGACACTTCTACTATGTGCCACACAATATTCTAAGCATTTAGATAAAGCAGTGAATAAGGAGATTAAATTCTTACTCTAGTAGAGCTTAGACATTTAAGGATAATAATTGTACCTACATCATAGAGTACTATGAGTAAATTACATAATGCATCAAATACTCTTAGAACACTGCCTGGCAGTTCTAATTGTAGAACTGCAATTATTATTATTATATCAGAATGTTATATCTTGATAAGAGCACATGATCAAAATATAGTCATAAAGCGAAAAATAGGAAAGTTCTTGAGACCCAGGGATAAAAATAATGGAAGCTTATCTTGATTCATTCAATTCAATACATATTTATCAAGGGCATATTATATGCCAAGTACTGTTCTAGAAGCTTGAGATGCAGATCTGATCAAGAAAGAGAAAACTTAAGAGGTGTCACAAAATATTTCTTATCGGTTGTAGAAGGTCCTTATTTTATCTATAATAGCCCCCACTATGGTGAGCTTAACTGGTATGTCAAGCAATGATCAAATGTCAGGTCGTCTTCATCAAAGATCACTTTTTAGCATCTCTGTCAACATCCATTTGGTGCAATTATTCTCCAAGAGAGAGAAAGTTTCAGTAAACAAGTATGAATGATTCTGTCAAAGGAGAAAGAAATTCTACTGACACACAGACTAAAAACTTGATAAACCATGGGAAGTTAGAAAACATACATAAAACCAAGTTAAAGGTATTTAAGTCACAAAGATTCCAAGTTCTTATCTCTCAGACGCCATTCTGTGTCATTGCAGTTTATGGTTTTTGATGCAAACTCCTCATGTCCTCATAGAAAAATCTACTGGCTCAAGAAACAACTTGTAGCAATTCACAAGTCTCTTCCATCTAACCTAGTCTGCGGAAGTCATATAGTTGAAACCACATAACTACCGGTCCCATCTGCCCCCATCTTTTAAGGGCTGCCAAATCTAAAGAAAGGAAGATTATTAACAAACAAGAAAATAAAGCTAATAAATAATCACAGAAAAGACTCAGCCTCACTAATAAACAAATAAACTAAAATTAAAACAGTGAGGTATGCTCTTTACCTAATAAATTAGCACAAACAAATCTTACTTTTATAAAGATAATTCCCTATGCTGTCCAGGAAGCCGTTAAATGGGTGATCTTATATTTCTGATATCAATGTTAATTGGCCTTTAGGGAAGAAAACTGACAAAGTGTATCATAAGCTATTAAATTTTTCATATTTTTTCGACCCAGTAACTCAATTTGTTAGAATCTATCCTAATTTTGAACAAAATCATATGCATGAAGGTATTAGTCACACCTTTATGTACATTAATAAGAATAGAAATAATTTAAATGTAAAACAATGAAAGAGCTGTTAATAAATTGTGGCATATTGTTCAACTACTAAAACATAAAAATTCTTTTTTTTAAAGATTTTATTTACTTATTTGAAAGAGAAAAAGAATAAACAGTGGGGAGGAGCAGAGAGAGAGAGAGAGAAGCAGACTCCCGACTGAGCAGGAAGCTGGATGCAGGGCTCCAACCCAGGACCCGGAGATCATGACCTGAGCCGAAGGCAGACGCTTAACCGACTGAGCCACTCAGGAGCCCCTAAAACATAAAAATTCTTAACATATATTTTGATACTCCACTTCCCTTATACTTCATTCCAAAAAGTATTTGAGGTAGGGATATCATACTGAATGATTTTTTTTATTTTTTTAATTATTTTTTATTTTTTAAAGATTTTATTTATTTATTTACTTACTTATTTACTTATTTATTTATTTGAGAGAGAGAGCAAGCAGAGGGAGGGGCAGAGGGAGAGGAAGAAGCTGACTCCCTGCTGATGGGGAGCCCAAAACAGGGTTTGATCCGAGGACCCTGAGATCATGACCTCAGCTGAAGGCAGATGCTTAAACAACTGAGCCACCCGGGCATTCCCTAAATGATTTTTAAATACAGAATACATGATTATACATGAAACATATTTTTAAACACATAGTGGAAGGAAATGTAACACAAATTAAATAAATCAGTGGCATTTTGGATGACTGCTTTTCTTCGCCATCTTCCATTTTTTGAAAATTCATAAGAAACTTTGTAAAGAAAATATTTATAAATATAACTCCAATAAAAATTACTTTTGACTTAATTATTAAACTGGACACAATGCATTTTGGGGTCATATTTGCAAGGCATAACTGGAGCTCTGTGTTAGAACTCGCAGTGAAATCTTAGAACTACATCTTATCATCACAACAGGAAGTCTGGGCTCATTAGTTTTTAAGATCCATCATAGTTCGGGTAGCTAGGGGGACAGTTGATAGAAAGTAATTGTTGGGACACCGAGGTGGCTCAGTCGGTTAAGCATCTGCCTTCGGCTCAGGTCATGATCCCAAGGTCCTGGGATCGAGTCCCACGTTGGGCTCCCTGTTCAGCAGGGAGTCTGCTTCTCCCTCTGCCCCTCTCTCTCTCCCCCCACCTCTCTCTCTCTCCCCCCCTCCACTGACAAATAAATAAATAAAATCTTAAAAGGAAAAGAAGAAAGAAAGAGAGAGAGAGAGGGAGGGAGGGAGGAAGGAAGGAAGGAAGAAAGGAAAGGAAAGGAAAGGAGGAAGGAAGGAAAAAGAAAGTAACTGTTGTCACTGCCTGTTTTGTTTGTTTGGTTATTGGGTAGGTAGGTTTGTTTTATTTTTTAGCCTATCAAAGAAAAGTCCTGGAAACTGAGAGAATTTGATAAGAATTCACCCAATCACTAAACCAGAACAATTCTAGGTAAATTTTCCACTAAGCTTGGAATGAAATGTAACAACTCTCAAAAACTTTATTGATTGTACTCAGAATCCAAGAACAATTCACTTTAGTTCTGCCATCCCAGCAAGTCTCTCTTCAGAACAAAAATTTCTCAAATTGCAGTATTTTATAATAGACTCGGAAATTTCTTTAGGTTGAGCTGAGAAACAACAGAGTAGTCATAAGTTATAGACTATAGCTGTATCTGAACAAAAAATGTGTTTGTCATAAGCTTTTCAGTGGGGGTGAGGATGGAGACAAGAGAGGGACAAATTCGAAATAAGAAGGAAAAGACTGAAAAAGAACAGAGCAGTTCAAGAAATGATTGTTTTAATCTTGCAAGGATGGCTACGCATTTTAATTTTTACAGGCTACACAAATGATAAAACATCCCAGTGGTTCCCAATCATACTCAGAACAAGAGCCAAATCTTTGTGGAGTCTTCAAAGCCCTACTAGATCTAGATCCCGTTTACTCTCTGAGCACATCTGCACATCTTTTTTTTTTTCATTCCAGTATAGTCAGTAGTGTAATATTAATTTCAAGTGTACAATAGAGCAATTCAACACATCCATTCATCACCCGGTGCTCATCACAAGTCTGAGCACATCTTATACCATATTTTTAGCTCCTCAATTACAGCTGCATAGTTCTCTTTTATTGACACCCTGTTCTCCCGCATGATCTATTTTTTCACCTCCATATTGGTAAGTGAGAAAAACAGAAAGACAGTAGATATTTCAGCAGAAGGAATTTAATGTAAGAGATTAGTTGTACAAGTAGGGGAGGACTTAAAAAGCAAAAAG